TTACCGAAGAAAGCTAAAATTTTCAGGCACTTATATAAGAACAGAGACAGTCACTAAATCCAGCTAGATTGACATGCCAGATTTTGCTGGAATTTTCCTTGAAACACCATAGCAAATCAAGTCCCATCCACAGGCACATCAAAGTTTTCTCTTAAAGGCAAAACCCAAGAACTGCATTCGGTAGGAAGGAGAAAATATTCTCATATCAAATGTAGCCAAGTATGCAAAACTAACAGTGGAATATAAACAAATGACATACAAAGGAATAAAAGAATATTGAAAAAAAAAAATTTAAATACAGCTACCTCTAGTATTGTAAAACATTAAAAATTATACTTTTTACCTTCACTTTAGAAAAGTACAGATCACCATAGTAACAAGCAATAAATGGATTCTACCCTCTATCAGGAAAGAGTTGTTCTTCAACAGAAGTTTAACAAAAAAACTTCCAGCAACTAAAATCTCCCTGATTTATTTTTGTTTATTTTATTGGTTTGGGGTTTTTTTGGTGTGTGTGTATCTTTGATAAAGAAAGTTCTAATAAAGTGAATTTGTTATATGATTGCTGTCAATTTTTCCCCTACCAGAGAGCAGAAAGTAGAGCTCTGAGAGGAAACAATGGGGAAAAGATTTACTCTGCTATCAGCAAATAAAGCTGCAGTGATACCAATGGAATGGTTAATTTGACTCATAACCCAATATATTTTTACCTGCCCTTCCATTATACAGTTCTGTGGAGGGGAAACAGACGTAAGAGGACAGCTGGGTATTTTAAAAACTTATTCTTATGTAAATCACACTCTCAATAAGTCATTATTATTTATGCACAGATCCTTACATTATTAAATATCTTTAGAAAGCTTGCACATAGTAAAGATTTTACCAAATAAACAGAGTCTATTTTTATAAATAAAACAGTATTTCCTCTACCTCTTCAGAAGAAATAACAGTATGACTAGGAAATGAATAGTCTAAATATTGATTAGAATTAAAATGAGCACTCATTCCAGGAAGTCCTAGATCTATACATTGTATACTTTTATATTTCCCCTTCTTTCAACTACATAAAAATTACTATTAAATATATTTAAAAGAAATAATTTTTTCCTAATATTTTATTTCTACATAGCCGTTCTTCATTGCAGAAGACTTGAAGCTATTTTTACCCAGTTCTGACATGTCCTTCTGGTAGTTCTTTTTTTTTTTTGCACACTTCAATAGATGTTCTCAACATTTTAACGTTTCCCAGTTAGGTAAAATATTCCAATTTATGCCTTGGAACTTGGATACACTAACATGATATATAGCCTGCCCTTCATTCCAAATACAGTTTCAATACCAACAGGAGAGGCCCAACAGCCTAAGATCTGCCACAGGAGAAAGTACTTAACAAGAGAAACTGATTTCTTTCCCCCTAAACAGCAACGGCTGTAACAGGCAAGTACAGTGCAATAAATGTACATCCAGTAAAAACTGACAATTTGAAAAATCCACTATGAAACCTTATTTCCAACAAGCATTTATAACCCTGTAACCTTTCAAGAAGCTCAGAATTTGTCCAGATTTACAAAGATTTGCAAGAGATGAAAAAGCCTATACACACTTCTCCAGGTGAGGCTGTCTCTTGAAAGAACCCAGACCCACTGAAACTTCTCAAAGAATGATTTAACTACTCAGTTTCTTCTGTAATTTTCAGACTTTTTTTTTCTTGCAATCAGTAAAACATCTTTCATTTAATATCAGCATTTGGACTTCGAAACGCTGAAAATTTATCTATGCACATAATTCCACATATGGATACACTATAATCTATGGGAATTTTAAAACTTCTGTAAACAAAAATCTATGAGGGAATACAATGAGCAGCTAGCAAATCACATACTACAGAAAATTAAATAAAATTACCTTAAAGTAATAGTTTTCACCTCAAAATATGTTTTAAGTCAATATCGTTTTCCTGTTATCAATGGCACATTTCATGATTAAAATTAAGGGGAGGAATCAAAGTAATTTTTATTTGTATCTGGTTTTATTCTTTTATAGACTAATTTCTTTGAATATTCAAGCCATTCTAATCAGCTCCTCCTCATTAGGAGAATATTGCAGGTTTTTACCAACTGAAAGTACCTACTTAAAGGAAATAATATTTCTTCTTGGAAAAAAAATTATCACAGGTCATTAAAGAAGCATTGTAAAATAGAATGTAAAGGCATACTCAAAGATGCTTTAGAACACTAATTTTGATTTAAAATGCCATTGTGCTTTGTGTTATCCAACAGCACAGTTCAGAAATTAATATAACTAAAAGATGGGCATACTAAAAAAAATTATAAATAAATTTTAAAAATTAAGAAAACCATAAAGGAGATTCTCGATAAAAACAGAAATAAGTAGCTGTTCTTAAAGGGAGAGAGACTGGGAGAGACGGGGAGGGACTGGGAGAGACGGGGAGAGACGGGGAGAGACGGGAGGGACTGGGAGAGACGGGGAGAGGGGGAAAAGGGGGAAAAGGGCAGAGGGGGGAGAGGGGGAAAAGGGGGAAAAGGGAGGGACGGAGAAAACATACAACCTTGCAGCTAAGACTATAATCAATAGGAGTTTTGACAGGAATATCAATCTAACTTTCACACCAAACAGCTATAGTTTGGAATTTTCACAGAAATCCTTATTTTAGAAATCACAGGGTTAGAAGGTTTGCTGCTGAGCTTGCACAACAGCTCATCTAGTGTATGGCAAAACAATTTTTATCCAGAACTATGGAGAACAGTTCTCACACCTTGAGTCAAGTTCCAGATCATTTAAGCAGAATATAATAAAGTAATAAATACAAGTAAAGCACTTGATTGTTTTAGATAACTACTGTGTATGTCTTTTGACAATATAATTCATGTAATATGATACTTTCAAAACAAATTTTAAGTGAAAGGATAATTTTTAAAGAAAACAGTTTTCTATTTTTTTAAACATAATATGAATCTGATCAAGTTTGTATTCTTCATATGAAGTTTACAGATTAGATGGCAGTTGAGAATAGGATTCAGTGATTCAGGAGAAACCTGTTTTTTGTGGTGTCTGCCTCCTGATCATCTAAGGGAAATATAAAAAAAAAAAAAAAGGAATTTGATTGAAAATTCCATACATGAATGGATCACTCTCTCAACCAAGCATCAGAGTAAAATGATAAATCCTGACTTCTTCTGAGGCTATAGGGATCTGAGGCTCCTGGAGAAAGCCTGCAGGAGTAAAGACAGAGGCAAAGAAGGCATTCAGCTCCTCTGCTCTCCACTCCACACTGCTGCCTGCCCTTAATAGCCTTTTTTTTTTTTTTTTTTAAAGAATACAGTTAGGAAAGGACTTAGGAGTAAAAATGCAATTTTATGCTAATATTTGTGCCTATGAATCCAATGGATGTGAATCTTGGAGTCTGAAATGTCATCACAGCCAAAAAGAATGTGAAAACGTGCAGTCTGCAGACTTTGTTTCATCCAAAAGAAACCCTTTGGAATATCAAGTGCTTTAGCACCACAGCCCTGGATAAGTCCTTGGACTATGTAAGAATCTAGGAAGGGGGACTTATTACACATGACAAAACCAGGGATTTTCAGTTTAAGATCTCAATTTTAAATTTACTCTGGAAACATCAACATTCAAATCTCTTTTATTTTGAATAATTGCTGTAGCTCTTAGCAAGGACAGGAACATCCACCACCAGAACAACCCTTGCTCTTCTAGTTCAGTAAGTACACGGGATAAAAGAACCTTTAATGGCAGACATAAACTCAGGATAACAGACTGATGCAGTTGAGCAGCTCAACCAACCATATGAAACAAAAGTCCCAAATCAGGCAGAGAAAACAATGATGAAAAACAGACAAAAGACAAAGGGAAAGGAATAGCAAAATATGTATGTGAAATGCAGACTGGAAAAAAGGTCTATAAAGAGTGCCTTAGGCTGAATTATACTTGGTAGAGGATTGGAGTTACAAGAAAAGAAAAAAGTTTCCTGTAGTTCAAGTGCAGAGAAGTAGATATTTTTTTCCTCATTCTTTGTAAGTAGGTAGAACAGCCTCAGCATGTCCACAGCACACTGGCAATCAACCCCCTCATTAGCATCTAGAACTGATAAAGCATTTGGACAAAAAAAGAGAGAAAAAAATAACTTCTCAGTGAAGAATTAATTTAGAGTTAAATATATTAGCATTCTTCAGCTTATGTCATGATAAAAAAAATAAAAATAAAAAAAATAATAATTTAGTCCTAATCTTGGTGTCCCATCTTATCCTGAGTCTTCAGTTAGCTAGATAAAAAGCCCCAGAGGTAGCACTGGGACAGTACAGCTGCCAGCACAGCTCTTTCTCACAAATATACACATAGCCTCTGCATCAGACACTTCTGTTTCTTGACTATTTATCAAGCAAAGTCTCAAAGGTAGGACTCAAACCAGTTCATTAAGTGTATCAAAGATGAATCCACAAATCCAGTGAAAGAATATGACTCATGGCAGGGAGAACTTAACTTTCTGGCATCTGTCCCTGCTCAAGAATAGGATGCATTTATGCCTTTTGCCTAGTTCCAACTAACATTTCTAGGACAATTTTGGGGTCAGATACTGTTTAAAATAACTAAAGTTGTGAAAGGAATAAGCTTCCTTTTGAATAATGCCATGTGCAGAATTGAATGAACTGAGAGGAACATCTTCACATTTAAGGCTATTCATAGTTCACTTTAATGTGCTATTTTTCGTACTTGCAAAGTTCTCCGCTTCAGTAGTCCTTTGTTCTTAGTCCTCCCATTTGTTATGCTCTAAGCTGCAAGCTCTTCCTCTAAACAAACACAACAAGCTATTCCAGTAGAAAACAAGGTACACTAATTGTACTTTCCATGACAGGTCTATATTTAATGATACGGCAAAATGTTTAAAACACTGTGCACCTTAAAAAGCAATTATACACTTTAGCGTGAATTGTACTAACTTTGGGCTAACTTTTAGTTGTACTCACAGTTGACACTGGTCTCCTTTGATTCCCTTAGTTGTGCAGAAACATTTTCCTGTTTGCATGTGGCAAATATTTGCATGTCCACTGCATGTGCAAGCTACAAAATAAGAAAGAAAAAGTTAGATTTATTCACCCATATTTACTTCTATACCTGAAGGAATTTTAATGGATTTTAATACTTCAACCTAAACACATTTCCTAAAAGTTGTATTTAAAAAAAATACGATACAGTAGAAGTAACAGATGTAGCCATATGAGACTTTGTGGAAGGACAAAAAAAACCATTTCCTTTGGCAGCTCAGACATGACTTGTATGCCCAGTTCATGGAATTACTGATAAATTAAATCAGCACCTGTACAATACACTTTAGTGTGCTGCGTGCTCCCTCACAGGGCAATCTACACATGAACTCCTCTCCCATCAGCCAGGTACCTCCTTCCACTTAAACTGCATTGTGTTTTATCACTGCACTCTGAAGCTTCCTGGACTTATACTGGAGAATTGTTAAATACTGTAAACATCTGGTTGAATTTACTTTCCCATGGACCCACATTTAAATTTTGGCCTGTATACATTCATGGTGTGCAAAAATGAGGAATACATTCATAGTTTGGTCTCCCTCACTAAAACCACAACATGACTGCTCTACCTCACCTGCATTCTCATGACACAAATGAAGCTTCTCTAGTGCTAAGATAAGCATGGTTGGAAAAGGAGAAGAAAGGAGACTCAGAATCTTGTCTTCTAGATTCCTCATCAATGAAAAAGCCAGATCTGACAAGCCCAGCAGCTAATTTTCTTCTATTAAAAGATTAGGCAAAATTACTCTCATTGATCAAGTTCATAGTAATTTGACTCTTCCCTGGATAATACCTTGAAAAAGGACATCAGCAGTTAATCCCTTTCCCATTATTTGAAAAATCTCATTTTGACCAATTTTATTTAACAGCAGTGAATGTGTTTTTTAATTAATCTCAGACTTGCAAATTGATGATGAAAAATGGATTCCTACCAATCTGTGGACCTTCATGTAAGGAGTAACTCAAAAAAAACCCACTCATATAAGCCATTCCTTCTGTTACTGAAGCTAATGTGAGTATTTGTTATCAAACAAATGCAACAGTACAAGCAGGTCAGTATTACATATTCAGTGGAAAAAAATTTAGATGTCATTATCTTTGTGCCTCACTGCAGGTTTTTTCCTTTGGCCTATTTCTGGATAATACAAAAGAAACTGAAATATTTTAATATTAATTAAGTTTACTAATTAATAAATTGCAATCTATAGTTACATTTTATTTCAAAGCAATAGAAAATTTACATTCTTCCATTACCTCAATATTTCTGTACTCATCTTTCCGTATTTTCATTGCAATTTTCTATTTGTTTTTCTCTGCTTAACAACTCCCACTGAATGGCTTCTTTTCTGACAATACTGTAACTGAACAGTTAGAACTGTAGCTACAGTAGTTTCTTTCATAGTCTAGTGCTAGTAAAAATATGCCAAATCTTGGAATCACCTTTAAAAGCATATTTTATGCCAATCATTCTCAGCTGGTACAAGTCACCAGAAGAGACGCAATTTATATTTTTCTTTTCTTATTATTTTTTTGAGGTCCCACCCATCTCCATCCCCATGCATTTGTTCTCAAGGAATGAGGCTTAAGTTACAGCAGTGGCAGCAGTTTTTTCTTCAAAAAAAGGCAGTTATCTATCATGATGATCTAAAGAAATGCTTAACATTATTTTCTTTGTAAGAACTTCCTAAAGCTGAAGAAAAAGGAAAGAAGCATTTAAATGAGGGCTATACTTAATACTTCACATTTCTAAAGCTTCTCCTTTTCCCCCGCCCTCCCATGTGTTTAATAAAAGGTTTAAGAGTTTGAGTAGAACTGCATGCTGGTAAGCAGACATTTCTGACTGAAAATCCCAGGCTCAGACTACTTGATGCTAGACAGTGGGAGGATAACTATCACTCCTGCTTTTCTGGGCCTGTCTGCCCCATCTTAATTAACATACCTGAGACACTGTCAAGAAAAGTTCTAAGATCCCGTTTTTGTGCCTTGGTGTTCACCTCCAACATCACACTTTCTGTGGCTGGGTATGAAGTTAGCTAAAGTATCCCAATGAGATTCTCAGCCAATAAGAACAGTTCCAGCTTCTGCCTCTTTTTACCAAATTTCAGCATCTTGTGACTGATTTTCTTTCTCCCATTTAGTCCCTATGTCCTTCAGGGTGGATTTTTGAGCACCACTATTCTTTCAAACATTCAGTTAAGAACAGTCAGATCTCTCAGACGATGTTAGGTTGACAGCAACACATTCACTATCCTGATTTTGCTTTCAATAATGTTCAGTTCTTAACATGAATTATTCTACCTGGGATACTGACCTACAAAAAGAGGATGAAGCATGGCTACACAGATTTGCTGGGGTAAGAGAAAGTAAACATAAGAAGAAACAATATTTATGCTTTTTAAAAGGGATACTGCATCCCTAACAGAAAGATAGCAACCAATTGAAAGACAACAACACTTACAAGCCCATTAGGGGCTTTTAAAAAATTATTATTTTATTTGAAATAGACTTCTTTTTTTTAAAGAAATCCAGAGTCAGCTTTAATAGAGTGAGCTCTATCCTCAAAAAAAAAAAAAAAGCAGACCACCAACACAGAAAACAACTTCACCAATGCCTTTATACATTTTGCTGAGCACAAGACTGTTAGAGAAGAGACATGCTTATCTACAGGGTACTTCAGATTCAGGTTCTGCTGCTGTACACCATATTCCAGCACTCATAGCAGCATCACGCTCCAACACTTGCAAGAGGTTACAGTGACACTAATCCTCTCTCAAATCTTCCCTGCCAGTCCTCAATACAGAGAATAGCTTGAAAGCCTGCTTTAATTTTACAGCAAGTTTCATATACAATAACATTCTAAGTCTTATTAAATTCAGTTCTCATTCTCTATTTCCTCCTAATTTAATTACTAATTTAAGTACTCTGGTTTTCAAAATTCAGAAAAGAATCTTTGTAAACCAACTGGTTAAAATTAAATATACAGAGCTTGCTGTTTTGTTTTGGGGTTTTTTTAAGTAAAAATCTCCATGTAAAAATACTACCGACTTTAAATAACAATAGTAATGTAAATCCAGGCAATGTATTTTCAATGAGACAATCACACCTCTAGGATACAACAGAAATGGATAATATATCATGGCTCCTTTTCCCTCATGGAAAAGAAGTACATTTTTTATTCTTTATTTCATAACTCACACAGTGCTAACAGTTTTTAATTATAAGGACAAGCTTAAAACAAAATAAATGCCAGCTTCTGCTGGATTTCAGACAAGAAATTTTAGGCAAGAATTGCCATTAGCCTTATAACTTCTGAAATGAGTTGCAGTACCCAAAACACAGAAAAACTCATTACTGATGCTCACATTTCACTTCAGGATACAAGAAAATACGGGATTTGGAATTGTCACAATGTGCATGTAAAACTCAGGCACAGAATACTGACACAGATATATTTTAATTCAAAATACATTGTACAGCTCTGGTGGAGGCTTTTTCTCATTTGGCAAATTCCTACACAAACATGTGCACATCCTTCAAATCAGCTTTAAAAATTCACAGACGTTTTGATATGCACATTTTTTTAAAATCTTACCAACTACAAAAATCCATCTTGCAAGTCAAACCAGAATCTTTAGGTGCACTATATTGAAACCATTCAGTCACACCCATCATGGCTGAGAAACAGAAGTACATAAAATTGTATAAATTGCCTCCATGTTGAGTTTTTATTATCATGAACACTTCTGCGTTCCAGGTATAGACACAACTTAGAAATTCAATCCTCTATAGATCTTACAAATTCAATCCTCTGTAGTTGCTGGAACTGAACACCCAGATGGACTGTCAAGACCTCAAGTTATCATCTCAACAATATCAAATATTTTAGTACAGATAATATAAATGAACTTCTGTAATAAATCTCAGAGTCATTCCCCTCATATCATGCTTCGGTTTCTATCATACTCCATGTCCATTAAATCTATTGCACAGGAAAGAAACCAAACCAGAAGATGGTCACAGGACCACAAAGGTGATTAAGGGACTGAAGAATCCTTCATGTTAGGAGAGGCTGAAAGAGCTGGGATTCAGCCTGGAGAAGTCTCTGGGGGATCTTATTAACATGCATAAATATCCGATGGGAGGGAATCACACTCTTAGTGCCCACTGACAGAACAAGAGGGAAAGGCTACAAAATAATAGGAAATTCCAGCAAAACAGAAGAAAACACTTTTTTACTGTTAGAGTGACATACTGCTGTGCTGTAGGTGCACATGTTCTTATGTTCTTCTGTGCTGCAGCTTTGGACGGGAACACTGAGGTCAGCCCAACTTCAACAGTCTTCCCATACAACTGAATGTACTCATCTCTAACTTGGGTTTATATTATGCACATATGCTTTAATTGAAGCAGTTTATACCTACCATGCAAATATTTTATCAATAATTAAACACCCATCATGGCTGAGAAACAGAAGTACATAAAATTGTATAAATTGCCTCCATGTTGAGTTTTTATTATCATGAACACTTCTGTGTTCCAGGTATAGACACAACTTAGAAATTCAATCCTCTATAGATCTTACAAATTCAATCCTCTGTAGTTGCTGGAACTGAACACCCAGATGGACTGTCAAGACCTCAAGTAATCATCTCAACAATATCAAATATTTTAGTACAGATAATATAAATGAACTTCTGTAATAAATCTCAGAGTCATCCCCCTCATATCATGCTTCGGTTTCTATCATACTCCATGTCCATTAAATCTATTGCACAGGAAAGAAACCAAACCAGAAGATGGTCACAGGACCACAAAGGTGATTAAGGGACTGAAGAATCTTTCATGTTAGGAGAGGCTGAAAGAGCTGGGATTCAGCCTGGAGAAGTCTCTGGGGGATCTTATTAACATGCATAAATATCCGATGGGAGGGAATCACACTCTTAGTGCCCACTGACAGAACAAGAGGGAAAGGCTACAAAATAATAGGAAATTCCAGCAAAACAGAAGAAAACACTT